ATAACTAATAAATGATTTGTATATCACAAAAGGGAAAAATATAATATACAAAAATATAAAATCAAAATGTAACTATTATCACTAATAAATGAGTTCAAAAAACCATTAATTTAAATGTATAAAAATAATTAGTAACAAATAACTTGAAAATTTTAATTGTCTCAGCACCAAAAAAAGGAAAAAAAAATTATACTTCAAATTTTTTAAGATAATTTTTAAGTAATGTCCCATCAGTCCGACTACTAACCCAATGACCTAGTACCTTGATCGAGCCAATGTTTGGATCGGATCTAATAACTATGGTATTAAGAACAACCAGACAACGCATAGATAATAACGGTATATGTCTATATCCCCTATCTACATCTATGTTACTTATTATTTGATCTAAACATTCATATCACCTTTCAATATCGACATAGTTCATAAACCAGTCAATTAATTGAAAGTGGTAAAATCAATAATAACGAATCAATTTAAAATTATATTTGAAGTAAATAAATGGAAAATATGATTAAAGCTTCCAAATCGCAGTCAAATCATTGCCTAGCTAAAGAATTTAGCTACACACGTTTGAAAATAATCAAATACATAAAAATTAAGGTCAACGCCATTGGGACTAATAAAATAGTAGAGAAGAAAGAGTTGTAAAATTTTCAAGCATCAATCTTCAACATCCCTAATTTTTCTTCTTCAAATCACCAAACCCTAGATGTAAAAGTGAGAATATTGATCTCCTCCAAGCTCTCAAAATTGTCTTAAGAAGAAATATATATAGGTGTAGGTACTAGGTCTTGATTTTCTACCAATTTTCTTACCAAGAATGGACAAAATTGCCTCTCAAGTAGTGTCCAACTTAGCATAAATTTTTGTGTATTCTAGTAACCTTTGCTTGAGCAAAAGCTTTAATCTGCTCCGGACAGTAGATATTTTAACTTTTCATAAAAACTCTCATCGACGATTAGTAAATTGTGTTGGATTCTTAACTCAATAAGCTTACAATTGGCATGTCATTGGCCTAGCAGAAACCTCCACATCAATTTTTGTAATCTAATTCTTCTTCATGTACCGCAAGTATTGCCATCTTCTCTTTTATCTTTTGATTTCCGAGGTTAGGGTTTTCGTCTCGGCCATAAATCTTAACCTTGAAACAACACTTTGGTTCTAAGTCTTGACTTCGTCTTCATCAACACGCCTCAAGTTTGAAGATTCGTCCTACATTCACGAAACAACTAAACTCAATAAAAGTTAACCCCAATATCCTCGAAATAAGAGCAAAAAGGCCACCGTAAACGAGTCAAAAAGTGTAGAAATGAAGCTTATCACCAATCAAGTTACTTTTAAGGTCAATTCGCTCACGCCTTTCAACTTGACATTACCAATTGCCAATGTCAAAATGAGTAAAGTGTGCCATAGCTGTTTTATCTTCTTCCCTCTCTTGTTGTACTTTCTTTGTTGTCAATTGAGGGTCTATTCACGATTTTATCATGCATTAATATTTATTTTAGTTGAGGGGTCAATTCTTAGTTTTTGTTTGTTACGACGCTCACATGTTTATTGAAATGTCTCGATCCAATTAAATAATAATAGGTGCATGCGTGTATACTCTTTCACTTGTAGTCTTGTACCGAAAGGGAAAAAAAATTAATGATGTGCCTTTGACCAAAATTTTTTTCCAACTTAGCACTAATCGGTCCTAATTTTTTAGAATCGTTTTCAATCATATATTTTATGAGATTCAAAATTTTTTATCAACATTTCAATCATATACTAAAATTTTGATTTTTAATCAAACCAAACCAGGGCTTAAGAGTATTTTAGAACCCGTCATTTGGATGGATTCTTGAAGAAATGAAATGGAATGGTCTTGATTCTCCCTTCAAATCTTTCCACTTTGCTTGGTTTTTCTCCTCCTTTTCTTCCTTTTTATGCCCTAGTTCTCTCACTTTTTCCTCCTTTCTTGTGTTAATTAAATGAAGGGATCATGAATTGGCAATCAAACTCATAAATGGGGTATTTAAATACCCTAAAAACAAGTCCTAGAAGATGTCCAAAAAGCTCCCAAACTTGCCCCGAAATTACAAAAAGGGGCCCAAAATTTACCCCAAAACACACTTGCGCGCGGTGGCATTCCTGGCGTGCAAGCACTCTGAAACACTTGGGCAGCAGCCCCGTGCATGCGGGCTATGCAATTGTTTCCTTTTTGCATCTTAGTCCTCTCACTATTTGCATGTTAGGTCCCTCAAATTTGATATTGTACATTTTGATCGTCAAAATTTGACTTTTCATTCGATTATATCCTCGATAAATTGCATACAAAGTCCTCAAGCTTTTATCACTTTACACTTTGGTCCTCAGTTCGTGTTTTTGTACGTTTTTAGTCATTTTTCCCTTTTGTTTTGTTCTCCTTCAATTGGGTGTTTTTTCCTTCAAAACTCAGAATTACACAATTGCGACTAGAAATTCGTTTATTTCATCAATAATAACTCAATTTAAGTGTCCAATAAGTATATAAAAACACGCTTATCTTGTTATTGTAGTATATAACCATTAATTATTGAAATTGTCACCAAAAAAATTTAGAATATGTTTGACCGTCGAGTATTTTGACATTGATCTAGACACTTAATTGTCATGATTATGCTACACAAGGCATAGTGTAGCTAAATAATTTAGACTCATGGAATCATTAAACAATATGAAGAACTATTTGAGAATATCACATGAAGTTGAGGATCAACAAGTTTTTAACCCCTTTTTAAATTTTATCTTGGACGTGTTGGAGAAAATTAGTACAGTCTATCCAATTCAAAACAACATGGTTATTTGACTGCACCATTTGCATTTGATGAGTCGCGATTAGTCATAGCACTAATTGAAGACCTTTTCAATTTACACTTAATCATAATTTTCTCGTAAATTTGAACATGACATTAAAATATGTAGGAGTGTATAAATAAAGAATAATGCTATGTATCATCATTGATGAGTAGCACGGTCTAGCGGGTCCATTAGACAAGAAAGCAGACCCTAGTGCCACCCAGAGTGATGCCTATTTGATTTGCTATATAGTATATTCAACTTTGCTATCTAGACAGGTGTTAAATATAGTTCTATGTACCCCCACCAATATGACATTGGGACCACTTCCCTCAAATTCAGCGTAGATCAGAATGAAACACGAGTTTTTCACGGCTCTCTTTGTTTCCTGCAGAATATAAGCTGTGATGGGTAGGGTGCCAAAGGCATGAAACATATAGTTTCAGTTTCCTGAAATATACCTTCAATTCTCCATTTTGTGTTTGTGTGTGAGAGAGAGTGAGGAAATGAAGACAGCAGGGACAGGGAGACATAATTACAGAGGGAAAAAGATTTGTGAAGAGGCAACTACTGTTGATTGGAGAGGAAAGCCTTCCAATCCCAATAAGCATGGTGGAATGAGAGCTTCTGCCTTTGTTCTAGGTTCCCTTCTCTTTTTCTCTTTCTTTCTTTGTAATGTGTGTGAGTGTCTGATCTACAATCTTGAAAAGAAATTTTAAAGTGATGATATTTAGTCCTTGTACAGTTGCAGCATTCTTGAAAATTACTTCTATCTGATGAAATTGAGTAAAATATTTGTGTACATTCTACATAAGCATTTATGGTGCATATAGCACTCAGCCAGTCGAGTCCAATACTTTATATGAGACACAGTTGCATAAATTTTGATTGGTGTTTTCTTGAATAATTTGCAGGGCTCCAAGGATTTGAGATCATGGCAATAGCAGCAGTTGGGAACAACCTGATAACATATGTGATAAATGAGATGCACTTTTCATTGTCAAAATCTGCAAACATAGTGACAAATTTTATAGGAACTGTCTTCATTCTAGCACTTCTTGGTGGCTACCTCTCTGATTCTTATCTTGGTTGCTTTTGGACCATGCTCACTTTTGGCTTTGTCGAACTTTCTGTATGTATTTCTTTCCTTTCTCGATACCTTTTGTCTCTCTCTCTCTCTCTCTAGTCTACCCTCTAAAACTTTGTCAACTTAATTTTAACCATACATTTCAAGTGTTCCGCAACCTCTCAACTTATGTAACCGAACAAGTTTATTTGTTCAAATTGTCTTCAACACATCCCCTTTATGTAAGTCAGAATCATTATATTATCATTTTCATAAATTAGCGGTGAATAGACTTAAACTTAAGACCATTTGCTTGCTCTCATACCATGTTACGATAAGATAGATTTATTGGTAGCAAAACATCAAACTTTGTGTTAGGACCCCCAGTAGTAGATTTCTGGAGATACCCTCTCACCATTATAGTATTCTTCTCGTTTAGATGGAAAAACTTTTAGACGAAGTTCTAGTTTCATAATTTTTCGTAAAATTTACAGAAAATTGCAATCCTCTTATGTGTTGAATCATTCACAGGGTTTCATATTACTATCAGTTCAAGCCCATCTTCCCCAACTAAAACCACCAAAATGCAACATGGTAACTGATGGAGACAATTGTGTAGAAGCCAAGGGGTTCAAATCCTTGATATTTCTTATAGCCCTTTATTTGGTTGCATTAGGGAGTGGCTGTGTTAAGCCCAACATGATAGCTCATGGTGCTGATCAATTTAACCAGATTGATCCAAATCAATCCAATAAGCTTTCCAAATACTTCAATGCTGCATACTTTGCCTTCTCCATTGGTGAACTTGTTGCCTTAACTCTCCTTGTTTGGGTCCAAACACATTCCGGAATGGACGTCGGGTTCGGAATCTCGGCTGCTGCCATGGCCTTGGGGTTAATCAGCTTGATTTGTGGAACATTCCTTTATAGGAACAAGCCTCCTCAAGGCAGCATCTTGACTCCTATTGCACAAGTAAGAAAAATGCTCTAATTTTTGTACAAATGAAATGCGTATGCTTTAGGTTAGACAAGAGTCCTACTCGGTGAGTTTCGATTCATCTGACATAATGAATTTAAAATAAAGGGGCTCAAGCTCAATTGACTGTTTAATATATTTTTTACTCTCTTTTTGCTGTCCCATGGTTCATGTTCTTGAAAAAAGTTCATCATTAATGTGCCTGCTTATGATACAAAATATACACACAAAATTTTCTTGAATCAACTTAACTTATTTTGGGTTTGTTCTTTACAAAGGTGTTTGTGGCTGCAATATTAAAAAGAAAAAGTTTCTGTCCTTCTGATCCTCGAATGCTTCATGGAAGTCAATCCAAGGATCCTAATAGTGACAACGATGGCAATCTTCAACTAACTGAAAGATTCAGGTAAAGTGCGGAACTCTCTCAAGTGCATACCAAATTTATTTATTTATTTTTATCAAAGGTCTCACGTGCACATTTATGTATTCTTCAACAGCCTCACTAATGAATATCAAATTTTCAGGTTCTTGAATAAGGCTTGTATTGAACTTGAAGATGGAAATAATAAAAGAGAAAGTCCATGGAGGCTCTGCACTGTAAACCAAGTAGAGCAAGCAAAGATACTGATTTCAATTATTCCAATATTTGCATGCACAATTGTGTTCAATACAATCTTAGCACAATTACAGACATTCTCAGTTCAACAAGGAAGTTCTATGAACACTCAGTTAACCAAATCCTTCCACATTCCTCCGGCTTCTCTTCAATCCATTCCTTACATCATTCTAATATTCATACTCCCTCTTTACGACACATTCTTCGTCCCTTTTGCTCGAAAAATCACTGGACATGACTCTGGTATAACTCCTTTACAGCGAATAGGATTCGGCCTTTTTACTGCTACATTTTCAATGATCTCAGCAGCCATAATGGAGAGTAAGAGAAAGAATGCTGCTGTGAATTCATGCAAACAATTGTCCGTGTTTTGGATCACGCCGCAGTTTTTGATCTTCGGGATATCAGAAATGTTCACAGCAGTCGGCCTAATCGAATTCTTCTACAAACAGTCCTTGAAAGGAATGCAATCCTTTTTAACAGCAATAACTTATTGCTCATACTCGTTTGGCTTTTACTTCAGCTCAGTACTTGTTTATCTTGTAAACAAGGTCACTTCACATTCCTCTGGTGGTGGATGGCTCAGTGAAAACAATCTCAACAAAGACAGATTAGACCTCTTCTATTGGTTGCTAGCAGCTCTAAGTTTCATTAACTTCCTCAACTATCTGTTCTGGTCAAATTGGTACTTTCACAACCGATCTCCATCGGCCTCACCGCGACCTGATTTTAACAGTCAGGATTTGTACAATCCCAATCTCAGTACCCCAGAAATTGTGGGAGATGAAAATGTACCTTAAATGACAGTGTGGGAATCAAAGGGAAGTTTTTTCTTTTTCTTCCTTGCATTCCCCGAGTCTTGTATGTAAACAGAGAAATGGAAAAGAAATAATTCCATAATGGATCTATTAGGATAATGGCACTTGTGTAAATGTATAGAAAATGGCATCAGTAATTGCTTTTTTATGAGAAATACATGTAGCACTATAATTATCAACAAATCTGCCATCAACGACGTGGATTAACTATAGATTTTAATCGTCAAAATATGTTTGATACGAGTGTAGTGTGTGACTCGTTACATTTTGACGTTAATTCAATAATGAATCCGGGGCAGTTTAAGGTCGATCACCTTCTTTATTTGGTGTGCCTTCCACATCATCTGAGGAGTATGAGGTGGAAGAGTATACATGATCCATTACCAAGATACAATGCATTTTCCCCAACTACATCAGTATCAATTCCTTTATCACAAAAGACCCAAGGTAGTGGCAAACAAGTGCCTATACTTTTTGTTAATTGGGAAGGAAAAAAGTACTGTAATGTGATGTGCATGTTCATATAACATAATGAAATCCAAATAGAACCAAGAAGTCAAAAGAAATAATTCTCTTACACTGTGTGTGAGAAAGAGGATGTTTGGCCTAGCTTAAAAGGCAAAAAGAAGCCGATTTGTTTCTCACTTTTTTTGACAGTATAAAGAGTAATATTGTCAAAATGCTCTGTACATGAAGATGGATAAAGTCTTTATTTTCTTGGTGGGGCTTTTTTTTTTATAACTCAGGTGTCCAAGTTTCACCTGACTAATCCTGAGGAATGACAGTCTTCCCCCCTGGTTTGCCACCCTGGTTAATCCGGATGCGATCACAGCTTATACACACTATGACTGGACATTCGGCAGTTCTCCTCCCTGTGCACCCCTGTCTTCCAACATAAATATTGTCTTACAATTGCCTCAGAGATTCAAACCTTCGATACTCCTTAAAGAACCCTCCTACTTTACCACTATGTCGTGCTCGTGGGGGGTTCTTGGTGGGTTTTTTTTATTTCTTTTTGAGAATCAATAACTTTTTAAAAAAGGGACATGTCCCAAACATGCTTTGATGTTGGGATTATTTTGTAGAACCTTTACAAATCCTATCCAACTAAGCTTTCAACAATAGTCAATGTGTTGGGTCAAAGATTATCAAGGTCCCACCACACAAAGGTAACTTTTTCTTACATTGAGGAGATCATTATCTGGTCTTGGAGTGAAAATAGAACTATAATCCACGTGAAATCAAGAAACTGCTCGTGCCTTAACAAAGAAGACTCAGTAATTAAGGAACTGAACTAGGGATAGAAAATAGCAATTCAGTCTAAAAGAACTTCAATAGCATTTCAGTACATTCCATAAAACCCTTGATGAACCAATATTGCATCCCATTAGAGGGTGATAAGTAAGTGAATGAGATGCACAGTGAAAATAACTAGAATAGCTTGCAGTTACATTACAGAAACACGTCAATCCTTGTACCGCTATTTGAATGCCGAGTACGAAATCCACAAAAAAGAAAACACAATTTCAATCTAGCTTCAGTATTGTAAACACTGAGAACACACAAACCACATGTTAGAGTTACACACGCTTTAGCCCATTAATGTCCCCCAAGAATTGAGGAAATTACATAATACCAGGTGTTTAAAGATTACAATTCAAAAATCAGGTCTACAATTTCATTATTCATAAA